CCTCAATGCTGTTTGCCCTTTGCCTTCTTCTCAGCTCTTCCCAGCTGACTTCTCTTTCCCCCATCTCTTTTTTTAATTTCAAGGTGTAAGATTAATAGCAGATTTTATTACGACAATGTCTTTTACTCACGGCTTTTTTCTAACTGAACGACCCTTTTTTTCAATTCACACGTGACAACTTACCCGCGAAAATTTGTCGCGACAATTTACTCGTTACACATGACCCACGAATATTGGCCACTTCTTTTCCTGTAAAACTTGAATTTAAAAATAACAACAAAAGAAATAATGGGACCATTACTTTCACTTGATGAAAGCAATTACCCTGTTGTTATGCTATTTGTTGACCTTTGTTACCCTGATAGTAGCAGTATGCAGGACGGGTGTTCGATATATGAACTTTAATATAGTATAGAAGTCTATAGTCATATAGAATCTATGAGGCTAAGTAGTAGAGCATCGGAACACGGAATCCAGGGGTCTGAGGCTCGATTCCTCGCGAGGACTCAGAGTTTTTCTTCGTCCCACGCCCGAGACAAGATGAAGAAACATCTTTCTTTATTCCTTTACCGAGCCCAAAATCTTACCTTCTTTCTTTTTCTATTAACAAAACATGACGTTAACGACATTGCTGATCCTAGCAGTTTGCAGGACGCGTATCATGCATGAACTTCGGAGTGGGCCTTGCCCAACACAGACTCTCCGTGGCTCAGTTGTAGAGGATCGGAGGGCGGAGTCCGAAGATTTGAGGTCCAATTCTCATGGGGACTCAGAATTTTTTCTTGTCCCACGCTCGTGACGAGACGGAAAAAAATTTCTTTCTTTATTTCTTTAGCGGGCTCGAAATCTAACCATCTTTCTTATTCTATTTGTTACCCTGTGGGTATTTTCGAAATAAGTCAAAAGGTTTATGCATAAGGTGCTCTATGGAGAAGAAACCCAACTTCCTTTTATTAGAGGGACGACGTTTCTAAAGAAATTTGCGTGGTGCTGCGTGGATGGGAGAGTATCACAGGGTAATTTAGTTTTAGCATCTGAGTTAATAACGTAGATTGGAATCCGTAAAGAGTTTTAAAGCTGACGTTTAGAGCGTTCGCCCATGGTCAGAGCGAGTAACTACGGGCTAACGCTCGATTCGTAAGCTTTAGACTCTGTACGGTGGCTAATTTAGGTTATCCACTCAGTTGATAATACTTAATTACCTTGTTGCCTCCCTTACTTTCTGCTGAGCATCATTTGATTGTGGATATGAAAATCATTATGAAGTCCATGGAAAACCTACGAGTACGACGGGAATGACAAAGACTAGCATATATTCAAGTTTTTTATTTCATCTCTATAAACTTAGGGTGCATATCTTAAAATCTCACAAGTCATTCTTATGAATTCTCGATTTCAAGCAAGGCATTTACCAGGACAAGCATTCTTTTCCTTCTTCGTTCTTGAATTGAAGAGAGGAACCTCACTAAAGTTAGAGTATTTTCTCCGATGTTATAAGTACATATATTATAAATGATGATAGAAAATGTATTTATACATCGCCAAATCCACTAATTGACCATGGTGCTTTGCGTTAAGATCATAAAAAAAGCTAAAAGAAAGGGGAAAAAGAGAAAAAAATTTCTATATCTATATACAGGAATAAACAAATTGAACAAATTCTGAGGTAATTAAACATATTTATTATCTAATAAAACTAAAAGGAGTTATGAGCTTTTTTAAAAAGATACGTTTTAAAATATCTTTTAGTCTCGCTTTCGGAGTCGCCAGAAGGTGTTGAAAAGAGGACTGACCATAGTGTCCGTTTAGAGGTGCGACAATTAAGTGAGTCACTGATGCAGCAAGGCACTGCTCCATTAATAGCTTTGTAGACCATTAAAAGAATTTTATAAACTATACAGTGACGGACAGGAAGCCAGTGAAGCTTTTTTTTTAGGATTGGGGTCATACGATCAACATCCTAGTACGTGTAACAATTCGAGCTGCTGTATTTTAAAAGGATTACAATCTCGAAAGAAGATGCTTAGGTAGACCATATAGTAGTGAGTTGTAGTTATCTAATATTGAAGTAATAAAGGCATGAACAACAATTTTGGCACTCTCTTCTTCAATGTACCTTGTAATTTGGGTGACTACTCAAACATACAAACCATACACTGCAACACACGTTTTCTCGTACCCATTATTGCCATAACCCCATTTGAACAAGTCCTCGCTGTACCAGATTTGGAATTCTTGGTTCGTTTCCACCGTCAGCGGGGTAGAGAAATTATCAAAGAGCAGTTGTGGCGATTCGGTTGTGGCCCAAGGCAGGCTGTAAAACTTGCAGCCCCAATAATCTGATAGAAAATCACTCTTTGGGAGAAGAAGATTACGGTTTTTGTCAGTTATCAACGTGGCCATTTGGTTGGGAATGAGACGGTTCCAAAGGCATCCCCATTTGGATTGATAGCTCGGGTTCGATGAATGACAGGTCACGTAACCGGATTTGTGCGTTAATTTGAATGTAATGATGTTACCCGCCTTGGAAGTTCTAAAGAAACCATACGAATCATCTCTTGCCCCAAAGCAAACTGTAGATGGTGTCATCTGTATCCATCTTACTGTTGGGAAAATAACCAGCATATAAATGATGAGTTGATTTTGAACAAAATAATGTGAGTTGAGTAAAAAGAATACAAGGCAGGACAGCCAGCCGCTTAGTCAGGCAGATGGATAGGAAAACAAGAAGGACAAAAGGGGCTTCAGACATCTGGAGAAGTGTATCCAGTGAGGCATGTACATAGATGCGATCCAATGGTGTTGGTACAGTTAAAATTCACATGACAAGAAAGATTTCTTGCACATTCGTCAATGTCTGAGAAATTACTGGCTTTCAATCACAATTCTTGGAGTATGAAACATGTATAAACCTTCTTATTTTGAACACTGAGTGCGATAATTATCCTTAGAGAGTTGCTGGTCGCTATATTTTATGAAAGAGAAAGCTGGTCAGCGAGAATGTTCAGCATTTCGTGGTCTTGCTTTCAAGTGGGATTAAGGATTTTCATTTTCTACCATTGATAAAAAATATTAAGGCAAGGGTAACTACTTTATCAAAACAAACAAACAAGCAATCAAACAAACAAACCAAGAAGGAAAGTAAAAATTAAACAAAAAAAAAAAAAAAAAAACACAAGCAAACTGACACTTCTTAAAGTCATAACGAGGCAATTACAATCTAAAGGCCTTTACCTGTGCAGCTCCGTCCGTCTCCGTTAAATCCAAATAAACAGGTACACACAAAGGATCCATTTGTGTTTAGACAAGTAGCGTTCAGGTGACAATCGTGAGTATTTTTTTGGCATTCATCGATGTCTAAAGAAAAGGTGGGAAAGAAAAGAAAAATTCTACACGAGTGAGATAAACATTGTTTTTTTTTTTTTTTAACTCTTATGAGGTGAAAAAGCATATATTTGGTAATCATTGTGACAAATTAATTGTTAGACTGAACCAAAACTTCCACTGCAGCGGAATCTCTCCGGATCGTTAAAGATTCGCCTTGGTAGCCTTCCTTGGCAGACTTTTTTCGTGGATTATGAAACCTATAATTACATTCTTCTAAAAAGTTTACTTCTCTTCTCAGTAAAGGCCTATTGTATTTATATGATAAACAAAATAATACATGGTTGCCTGCAGTTATGAGATAGCGAGTTGAACACTCGAAAAGAAATTCCAAATCAACACGATCCCATGTATTATTCTCTATGTATTGAATGAGGACAAAATGGCCGAGTTTCTTAGTGATAAATTATCTAATTGTCTTGCAACGCGGCTGAATGGTGCGGCACTGTAGTTGAACGTGTCATGCAGGACTATTCTAAATATTGTAACGACGAGATTAATTTCACCTGCGCAGTTTTGTCCATTTCCAGTATATCCAGCGTGACATTGACATACATGTGATCCAAGGATGTTCTTGCATGTAGCATTCACGTGACAAGAGTTATTTCCTTTACACCCTTCAATATCTGTAAAATCATAAACATAAAAAAAAGAATTGTAATTGGGAAAAAGTTGCCGCGCAAATCTTAGTCTTTTTGTCTGTGGTTCTAGACTGAAGCACTTCACATAACCACTCACAAGAGTTTTTCTCGGTTCCCCTAAGTTCAAATGTATTATTATCACCATCGTCTTCAGGCCTACATTCATCTCTTTTTTTTTATACAAAGTATGCTGGTAAAGCAAGTCTTGCAAAGATGATAGCGCTTTTCTTTCCAATGGGAATGGTTACAATAGAAATGCATTAAGTACTTGTGCAGTCCCGTCCATTTCCAGTATATCCGGGGTGACAACTACAAACATACGATCCTTTGGTGTTCGTGCAGGTAGCATTCACGTGACAAGAGTGATTTCCTTTACACTCGTCAATATCTGAGAAACAATAAATACATTTTGCACTTTATCATTTTTATGACTCATAGTCGTCTAATTCCTTTAATCATTACAAATTGTGAAATAAATGTTTCCCTTTTTGTGCTAAATGAATTAGAAGTTGCGAAATTATATATCAGCACAAATATTTTAATTAGCAAGCTGACGGCTCTGAAACAAGCCAGAGTGTAGATCATGGTAACTCTGTGCATAAACGTGCATGGCTAATGCTGTTTAAAACTATGAGACGATTAACAAATATTAGTTTTAGTGGGAAATATCAATAAGGTCATCTTCAAAGTTACCTGAACATGAGCGTCCATCGCCGATGTATCCCACTTTACATGTGCATTCGTAAGAACCATACGTGTTAGTACAGTTTGCATTCACGTCGCAGTCACTGATGTTAAATTTACATTCATCCATATCTAGAATGTTGAAAGAGAAACAGTGACTAAGTTAGAGCAACTTGAGAGAGGCATCCACGCTATAACTGATCCAAACCAAATATTATGATAATGATATTAATAATAGTATAATTTATAATAATTTCATGACACTGATAACTAGTTACAAAATAAAATATCTCAAGCAAAGTTATGGGACCTACCTTCGTTAACCATATCACAGTAAATCAGTTTTGCCTTTCCTTTCCCAGTTGGATCCAGCCAGTACTTGCCGCTTATGGTGTGTTTACCTTCACTCGCCTTTATTTCGTGACAAGACAGCGCCGTTGATTCAGGGATAGAACCTAGGGAGCTGCAGTAAAGATATGTTTTACGCTCGGCTCCTATTCTTAGTTCTTCCACGTGCGAAGGAACCAGGCTGATGATGGATAAGATTTAAAAGAAAAAGAAATCACATAGATAGAAAGACTTTGATTTCTTACCTCTGCCGTTCAATCGCCGAATGTAAAACCACGCGGGTGCTGAAAGGAAATTCTCTGGTTTCGCCTCCTTGGTGCGGTTATTAAGTTCACATATTTGGTATTTTGGATTGTAGTTATAGCTTTGGCACGAAATCTCTAGTCCACATTTGACATCGCAGAGGTGAGGTGCCGCCAGTGACCATCTTTTGAAGACAGAACGCTTGAGAGCCATTCCTTGTATATTAACTTCGGTCCTGCATTGATCATTAGTTGTGACAAACTCCATGGAAGCAGCGAAAAGGACGAATCTTAAATGGCGGAACAGCCACCACATACTTCTTTGCTTGTGCTGAATCTGAAAATATTGAAAATGGGTTCATGAAAAGAAAAATCAGAGTTTTCTCTCAACAAAACTTATTTGGAACCAGATGAAGCCATAAATCAATCATATTACACGCGCAATAAAACCTTGCCTGAAAATTTGTCAAACTACCTCCTAATTCATGAGTTTACGATTTGCACGATGCTGGATATGATGCCAATCGTCAAGGAGGATCAGCGCAACTCTGAATAGTACATTTTAATTTTGAAGGCTCCCTCAGCTTTTGTGGAATGATAATTTTGATCTGCTATGGCAATTTGAAATGTCCTCCTGATAGGCTACCCCCACAGAAGAACGAAATCTCCATTCCCATTTTAGTTCCAAATGTGAAGTAACAACGACTCGACCTCGACAAAGACTTCAGAGTTAATAATATAGTCTAGTTATTGGGTGAGAAAAAATACAGTCTTTAACAAGTTGGCTAATCAACATTTACAAGCTGCTGATTATCTTCATTTTTTATGAAATAAAAATCCTGAAGATTGTTCAAACCCTCTATTTATCTACAAGTTCAAAAGGGCAAGAAAGGTTAAAATATAAATCTTCCAATCTTTATTCGATGACCAATCCTTTCTAGGTTGTTATTGAAAAATTCAACATTTTGGACGGGGTTGAAACTTTCGCGACCCTTTGGTAATTTTTTAGATAAACAGAGCAACATAGCGTTTACCAGAGCTTTTGTGTTGCGTATATATAATCATGCAAAAGTTACTTAGTAAACCCTGAGTATTGATAATCTGCTTTCGTTGGAAAGACCTTGAGTTATTTTGCTTTTTAATTGGACCATAACCTTGTTTGAGAGTGAAGCCAACCGTTTTCTTTTAGTATTCAGGATTAAAGGAGCCGCGGGTTATTATCCGAATTCAAATTCAGATTTTTCCTACTTGAGTTTACGCGATCACCTTTGGTTAATTAGACGGATTATCATAGAAAGAGAAAATTTATGCTAATTTCCATTACAATTAAACAGCGTTGTTTTGGCATCGCGCAGGAGATTCACACATGCGTTCAAGATTTTTCTACCGATAAATTCAGTATACATTAGAAAATTCGACGTTTTGCAAGAAATAATAAATTCCAATAAAAATAGTCAAAAACTATCTTTCTCAAACCAAGGCCAAGATGCCAGATGCCAGATGCCACCTGTTTTTGAGGTGAATACCTTTAAACTAATCCTTAAGTGTGTTTTTGCTCATAACTTTCCCGGAGACTACTGCAGAATACCCGAGTTTTACTTTTGATACATACACTATGTTTATGGACGAATATGCAACAAGAAAAATATAACCACTCTTTATCATATGTTAGCACTGTTCTCTTGTAAAAATAATTCTGAGATGATCAGGAGTGTTAAAATGAGCTTCCTTAGGATGCAGAAAGATCAAATTCTCGCCTGATAAACCACAGGTAAATTAACAGAACATTAGTGTCACGTTTAAATGTTATTGAGAGAGAAGAGATGGGAATGGAACGATTTCAATCAAATAATTCGTATTTACCAAAGGTTGTGGTCGTTTTGCATCCAATCTTCAATTTTCTGAATAAGAAACGATAAAAATTTTCGTTAAATGCCCTCTAATTTTTCAAAAGTGAGTTCCAATCATGGGTGGATGTTGAATGCCGCTTTTTGACTTAGTGTTTGCAAATTGTTGTAACCTTAACTCTTTTTGTATCAGGAAAAGAAAATAAAGGAGTTATATAATTAACATTGTACAAATAGGTGAATCGAAGGATAAAAAATGCTTCGCCGTCTGCGACTCACCTTTTCCAAAAGTCAAGTTAGTCAATAATGCATTGCAGGTTACGAATATAAAAACTGGAACAAATTAGATGTCCGCTTCAAGGTAACGGTTTTCTGTTTCTACCACGCACGTATGGCACAAGTTTTAAATTGATCATCAGCTCCCAGCAGTGGATTAAGCTTCCAAAATCGACCTGTTTTTATGAACGAAACCGTATTATGAAAATGAATTTTAAAATAGCTTGCAGCTGTCAGTTTTCTGTGGAAATTAATGCAAATGAGGCAAATGTATGTTATCCGCTTCGCTCGATGGAGAGAATTGGGTCATATGTATCAGACTCTAAATTAGTCCTTAGAACAAATTGTAAAAATTTGGATTAATTTCTTTAGAAGGTCTAATTGACGGCGGCTATCTTTAAAAGATGGAACGGGGAACTGGGGAACGGGGGAATGGGGGAACGGGAGAACGGAAGAGCGGGAGAACGGGAGAACGGGAGAGCGGGAGAACGGGAGAAGAACGGGAGAACAGGAGAGCAGGAGAACAGGAGGAGGGAGCGGGAGAACGGGAGAGCGGGAGAACGGGAGAGCAGGAGAACGGGAGACGGGAGAGGGGAGAACGGGGGAACGGGAGAACGGGGGAACGGGAGAACGGGAGAGCGGGAGAACGGGGAACGGGGAACGGGAGAACGGGGCAACGGGAGAACGGGGAAACGGAGAACGGGGCAACGGGAGAACGGGGAAACGGAGAACGGGGGAACGGGAGAACGGAAGAACGGGGAACGGGAGAACAGGAGTGGGGAATGGAATGAGGAATCGTTAAAAGCGGAAATCTTTAAAATGTAGAATTTTTAAAAGCAGGAATCTTTAAAAAGAGGAATCCTTAAAAGCGGAAATCTTTAAAATGTAGAATCTTTAAAAGCAGGAATCTTTAAAACGGGAATCCTTTAAAAACAGGAATCTTTAAAAGCGGGAATCCTTAAAGCGGGAGTCTTTAAAACGAGGAATCTTTAAAACGGGGAATCTTTAAAATGGCGAATTTTAAAAGCGGGCATCATTAAATGCAGCAATCTTTAAAACGGGAAAGTCTTTGAAATGGAGAATCTGCTACATGAGGAATCTTTAAAAGCGAGATTTTTTAAAACGAGGTTTATTAAATAGGTTTTATGAAGAGTCTAAAACTCGGTCGAAATATTCATAAATTAACTGAAATCACCTTTATTCGCGATTTGAAATTTGACCAATCTAGATATCAAATAATTAAATATCTTTGATACCTCTACTTTTAACACGTGCACTTGAAATCGGGCCTAAAAAAATTTATTTTTGCTAAGGCTTTCATACAGAATCGAAACAAATGATTTTACAAGTATTCCAACATCAACTCATAGGTATTTAACCAACCTCACTCAAGATTCCCGCTTTTAAAGATTCCCAGTTTTAAAGATTCTCGCTTTCAAAGATTCCCGCTTTTCAAGATTCCTATTTTAAAGATTCCTCATTCTCCAGTCCCCTTTCTCGTATTTCCCTTTCCTTTAAAGATGGCCACGGAAAACCTCAGGAAAAACAGATACTTAGACGTTAAGTTCTCTTGAACGTTTTAATTAAGAAATTTTTAAAATTTTAAATTTAATTAACAGAAAAGTCATGTTCCCGTTTCAAGTCTACTTAAATTTGTCATTTTTTTGGAGTTAAAATACACAGACGTGTTATTCTCATTAAACTTCGCTCCTAAAATCGTTTGAAAGAATTGGTTATCAACCCTGATACAAAGCTCTTTAGCGTGTGGATATCTACCTTCATTAGGTGTTCTTAAACTGCTCAAAACTTCATTCGCTTGGAATCTGACCATATTAACTTTCATATCTAAGTGGTTTGAGTTGCATGATCAAGCTTTAGGTAAATTCCTAACGTTAGTGATGCTTGATTCACATGTCCTCACATGTTCTCGAGGTTCCAAAGTCTTTAAGACAATGACAGTTAGGCCTTCTTTGGTATATACATTATTCCAATTGCGGATTAAGCTTCGAGGTAAACAAGGATATTTATGACGATGACGGCAAATTTAATAATTGATTAGGGCTAATTACTACTACTCCTACTCCAACCATTATTTTCTTCCAGATGTGCCCTGGTGTTTAATCATGAAGTACAATAGTTTATCAAGAATTATTTTCAAAACAACCAGCTAAAACTGTTTTTGCATAAGGACTCTTATAAACGAAAAAACTGCTTCGATCACTTCCCCCTGAGTAGCATCTACAGCTGGATATGTAAATCATTATAACGTCCATTTAAAAAATACAGGTACTAGACACAAATCACAGGGGATTCTCGGAAGGAATGTAAATTTTTTTCAAACAAATGTTAGGAGAAGGAAACTGATCATGAAAGTTCAAACAATGCGAAAATTTACAGGACTATTACGACTTTGAGATAACGTACATTAGAAAATGGAATTAGAAATTAAATTTCTAACACACCAGGTTCATCTCCAAACGTTTCCTAAACCCGAAAGCTAACTGCTGTATGAAAAGTTGTACGAAATGTGATGGAAAATTGAAACAGATCGAGTTACCAAAATCTACATACAAACAAAACCTAAAGCGAGATAAAATAGAATTTGAGAAGAAATAAAAATAGACTAGCACATATTCTGGCTTTTTTTATTTCATGTCTTTATACGTAAAATCGTGCGAGGCATTCTTATGACTTGTCCGGAGCGATATTATTTCAGGGCAGATAGGACAAAACCCGCAAAGAAAAGCGATCCGCCAATCTTTTATCGACGTTTCTTACCTTCGTCGTAGAGGAGAAGTTATAAAAAAAATTGCATTTAATAATCACCTATGGCTATTAAGACCGGTTATCTTGGGGAAATTTATGCTAATGATTTTTGAGACGTGCCATTGTTTCCTGTCAATAAATTCAGTATAAATGTGATAAATCGACCTTTTCCCGGAAGATAAGTAAAATTTGAAACGAAAAAGTCAAAATTCTACCTCCGTTCGATGAAAAAACATCAAACTCCAATGGAACTGAACTTAACAGTGTAATACGTACATGTTATTGAGATAAGAGGGTTGGGAATAAAGGATCTTTTAATTGACGTAATTCGTAGTTGTCGAGGTTGTTTGTGTTTTCCGTCTTATATCCAACTTTCTGAGTAGGATACGCTTAAAAAGCTTCGTTAAATACCTTTTTATTTTACAAA